GCAGGAGCCGGAGCCACAGGCCGCGGGCACCATCTCAAAGAGGGCCTTTCTCCTGGGATGTGCAGGGCCCTGCATCTCCGAGACTCTGCGGGGGATCCATGTTCCTTCCTAGGCGGGTTCCCGGCTCTGGTGCCAACAGCAATGTGCTGTCGTGTGCTGTATCTACTGGGCGCCCAGGACCCAGATGGGGGCTAACTGACTGGTTCTGGAGTTGGACTGCCTGGGTTCAAATCTCCGCCCAGTTGTACCTGACCACGCAGTGTCTGTCTCAGCTTCATCTGGACAATGGGGCAGATGGTAACTCTCCCTTTGGGGTCAGTGAGAGAACGGACGTGTTCACAGGTGTGACTTTAGAGCCTGGCACGTGGGAAAGGCCGCTGCGGCTTGAGCTGCTGTCAGCCACGTCCTGGTAACCCTCACTGAGCACGGGAGCAGCGGTCGCCTCCACGCGGCAGACACGGGACTGGGGCTCAGAGAGCAGCAGAGGCTTGCCCAGGGTCACACGGCTGGTAAGCGACAGAGCTGGGGCTGCAGGACCAAAGAGCACTGCTCCATGCACCACACTGCCTAGCCTCCCGGGGCTTGCTCTAGGACAAATGCCTTCATCTTGACATGATCTGTGGTGACCTCCACAAAAGCCTTCTGGCATGCTCCTCCCTGCCCCGGCTGTGGTTGAGGCTCTAATGTGGGACGTGGCCCTAGGGGACATGGGGGCTTGGGTCTAGCTGGGGCACTCCCCTGCACTGGGCTGGGCTCTGAGGTTTCAAATGGCCTTCCGGACCAAGACTATGGTCTGGGCCTTGCCTCTAACTTCTAGAAGTTTCATTCGGGGGAAATTCCTCCTTTGCCTTCTGCCAAATGCTATGTCTCCTGGAGGCTGGTGGCTCACTGCAGCCCTTCCAGTGACAGATGGCCAGGAACGTTCTGGCCATGGACCCTTGCTCAGAGCGTGCAAGGCTGAGTGTGTGCTGGGGGCCCGTACTGCCCTGAGAGAGCATAAATGAATGAGTGAATCAATCAACTCTGGCCTGAGCTGGGGTCCCTGACTGTGCTGCCCTTCCTCAGCCCCAGGCCCCCCTTCTCAGCCAGTCCTGAGACAAAAAGACGTTACCCATCCATCACTTGGCAGGAAGCAGGCCGGTCTCCGCCAGTCATGGGGGCTGTCAAGCTGGTGTAGACGAGTCACGGGTGGTGTCTGGTTTCCGAGTTGGGCCCACTTCCCCCCCTGCTTCCCACAAAGCCACTAACACTGCTCAGATTCTGTGGCTCCGCAACCAGTGGAAGCCTGGCTTCTTCAGGGACACAAGCCTCTCCCTGGGACGAGGGTGCAGGTGGGGCAGCAAGGTCCCTAACTGCCCCCTTCCTGCAGGCAGGACCCTCCCCAAGAATGCACCTGCAGTACCTGGAGGTCACTGGTCGGGAGATGCAGCAGCCACCCGGCCGATGGGGCCACCACAGCCACGGCTACATGGGGCCTCTCTTGCCACTTAGCTCACCTCCTGGCACCCTGGCCCCATTGGCCTCCCAGCTTAGTTCTCACCCACCGCCCACCTGCTTCCTTCTCTCTCCAGCCTGGGGCTTCTCTCCTGAGCAACAGACCCCAACCATAGACAGCCACAGACCTGGCCCACACTGGAGCCCTGCCTACCTTCCCCAAGTGCCTCTCGGCGATGGGACTGCCCCTCTCTGCCAAGAGGCT